TTCTCCTTTATTTACTCAGAAATTTATGAAACATGAATCATTACATACATAGTTGAAGTCCACTTTGTATCTCTACCCTTCCTGCAGGAGAGGTAGCCAGTAGCTTAAACATATTCCAAAAAATTATCACATCCTAAGCCACAAAGTAAAATTAAATAATCAATCTGCAATAGACCACATTTTTGCAATTAATCTAAGAACAAAAGTATAAAAACTTTATAAAAAGAATACCTACTCAGGGGGAGTGGGGCAAGAGGCGAAGTAGGGTCCCCAAATCACCTGTCCCACAAATTACCTAGATAACTCTTCAAATCATCCTGAAAACTACAATTCGCCTGAGATGTAAAGAGAGACCAGCTGGAATGCTACAGTGAGAAGATTCGCGCTTCTATCAAGGTAGAAGACGGGAAAAAGAGATAAAGAAACAAAAGCCTCCGAGGGGGAGGGCCCCGCGGAGCCGGGCTGAGGCCTGGCGAGTGGTCCCCAGGACATGAGAGCCCCGTCCCGGAGAAGCAGAGCTGCACCAACCGTTCCCGTGCGGGCAGAAAGGGGCCTGCAGGGAGTTGGAGCTGGACCCAGGAGGGCGGGGTGCCTCGGGCTCCGGACACTAACAGACACCTGCGCCCGTGAGAGTGCGCCGGGCTCCTACGGCTGTAAAAAAAAAAAAAAACAGCGCGCACGGCGGGCCGGAGCAGCTCGGCGGGGCTCGGGCAGCGGCTCCGCGGAGGGGGCGCGGGGCGGGAGCGCGAAATCCAACAGCGCAGCCCAGGAGCACAGGGCGCCGGGACACAGCCCAGATCCTCCTCCCCCGGGACCAGGCAGAGGCCGGAGGCCCAGGACAGCAAGGACGCTCCTGCCCGGAGCTGACAGATCATCGGCCCGCCCCGGAGCCTCCAGCCTGCGGACGGAGAGCCGAGAAGCCCCGAGCCCCGTAGTTCCTGCCGGAGCTAAATCAGGCTTCCAGAAGTTTTGCCTTAACAACTGCGGCTGATTCCACCCTGGGCCCCACGGGGTAAACAACCCCCTCTGAGCCTGCACCAGGCAGGGCAGAGCATCTCCCCAAGTGCAACACTGAAAATCAGCACAGCAGCCCCTCCCAGAAGACCAGCTGGACGGACCAGTTCCAGGGAAGTCAAGGGACTTAAAGTCCTACAGAATCAGAGATACTCGCGCCCCGTGGTTTTGTTTTATTTTTGTTTTTTTTTCTTTTCTTTTGATTTCTGATTGCTTCCCCACCCCCCTTTTTTTCCACCTTTCTTTCTTTTTCTTTCTCTTTTTCTTTCTCTTATTTCCCCTTTTCTCTTTTCTTTTTTCTCTTTCTCTTTTCTTTCCTTCTCTCTCTTTCGCTCCGTGTTCCCAATACAACTTGTTTTTGGCCACTCTGCACGAGCAAAATGACGAGAAGGAAAACCTCACCTCAAAAGAAAGAATCAGAAACATCCTCTCTCCCACAGAGTTACAAAATCTGGATTACACTTTAATGTCAAAAGCCATTCAGAAGCACTATCTACAGCTACTGGTGGCTCTAGAATAAAGCATTAAGGACTCACGAGACTCATGACTGCAAATTAAGATCCAACTCAGGCTGAAATTAAAAATCTATTGAATGAGATGCATCAAACTATAAAGTCCTAACGATGAGGATTTAACGAGTGGAAGAAATGACTGAGGTGACATAGAAGACAAGTTAATGGCAAAGAGGGAACTGATGAAAAAAGAGACAAACAACTAAAAGACCATGAAGACGATAAGGGAAATAAATGACAGCCTAAGGAAAAAAACCTATGTTTAATTGGGTTCCTGAGGCGCCGAAAGGGACAGAGGGCCAAATATGATTTGAACAAAGCCTACTGAAACTTTCCCCAATCTGGGAAGGAAACAGGCATTCAGATCCAGTAAAAAAAAAAGAAAAAAAAAAAAAAAGAAATAGAGAGATCCCCCTAAAATCAATAACCACCGTTCAACACCTCGACATTTAATAGTGAAGCTTGCAAATTCCAAGATAAATTAGAATATCCTTTACAGCAGCAAAGAGACAAGAAGACCCCTGACTTCATGGGAGAATGATTAGTGTAACAGCAGACCTCTCCACATAAAAGCACATGGCAGGGCAGAAAGGCTCGGCAGGATATATTCCAGGTCCTAAATGAGAAGAACATGCAACCAAAAAAACTCTATCCACAAGGCTCTCATTCAAAAGGAAGGAGAGATAAAGAGCTTCAAACAGGCAGAACTGAAAGAATATGTGACCTCCAAACCCAGCTCTGCAAGAATTTTAAGGGGGACTCTTAAATCCCCTTTAAGAAGAAGTTCAGTGGAACAATCCACAAAAACAAGGAACGAAATAGATATCAAGATGACACTAAACTCATATCTGTCAATAGTAACTCTGAACGTGAATGGGCTTAATGACCCATCAAAAGGCGCAGGGTTTCAGCCTGGAAAAAAAAGCAGGACCCATCTATTTGCTGTCCTACAAGAGACTCATTTTAGACAGAAGACACCTACAGCCTGAAAATAAAAGGTAGGAGAACCATTTACCATTCAATGTTCTCAAATATACCCTAAAAACTATAATGAACACTTCTGAATGAAATTGAGGAAGACACAAAGAGATGGAAAAAAATTCCTCACATGGATTGGCAGAATTGAAGTATTGTGGAAAATGTCATGTTACCCAGGCAATTTACACGTTTATGCATTCCCTATCAAAATACCATGGACTTTCTTCAGAAGTTAGAACAAGATTATTTAAGATTTGTGTGAAATCAAAAGAGACCCCGAACAGCCATGGGAATTTTTAAAAAAGAAAACCATATCCTGGGGCATCACAATGCAGATTTCAGGTTGTTACTACTAAAGCTGTGTCATCAAGACAGTGTGGTAACTGCACAAAAACAGGACATATAGATCAATGGAACAGAATAGAAGAACCCCAGAATGTGACCCTGAACATTATGGTCAACAAATATACGTTAAAGGAGGAAAGGCGTTCCACTGGAAAAATACAGTCCTCTTCAAAAAATGTGCTGGGAAAATGGACCTCACATGCAGAAGAAGAAACGACCACTCTCTTGCACCATACCCAAAGATAAACTCAAATAGATTGAAAGATCTAAATGTGAGACAAGATTCCTTCAATCCAGAGAGAACTCAGGCAACACCCTTTTTTGAAGTTGGGCCACAGTAACCGAGAAACAACAGTGTATGTTCCTCATACATTTTGGGAATATGAATAATAGGTGAAAGGAATAAAAGGGAAGGAAGGAAATGTGTGAGAAATATGGAAAGGAGCCCAGAACCATAAAGACTTCCTAACTCTGGGAAAAGAACTGGGGGTGGGGAGGGGAGGAGGTGGGGGGTGGGGTGTATGGGTTGACGGGCAACGAGGTGACACTTGACGGATAGCACGTTTATTCTGTATGTTGGTAAATTGAACACCAATAAAATTAATTTATAAAATAAAAAAAAAAAAGAATACCTACTCACATACTGACAGCAGCATTCAAGTTAAATGTGTTCTTAAATCTACAATTTCACTACTTTTTGATGTAGCACTTACAGAGGTACATTAAAGTTTCCCACTATATAGGCTTTCAGATTTATGCTTTTTAAGATTTATACATTTGTCTTGAATATTATACAGCAGAATTTATTTTTCATTTTTTTCTATTATAATATGACATTTTTATACTTTAATAATGCTTTTTGCAATAAAATCTATTTTGTCTAATATTTATACAGTTATACCCAGTTTAGGTTTGGTTACTTTTCGCCTAATTTTTTTCCTAATCACTCTTTGATTTGGCACCTTTCTGTATTCTTATGTCTCTTTTAAACTAAAGAAGTAGAGTTAATTTTGTTCTTTTATTCAATATAATGCCAAAAATTTACTCGACTATTCTGGGAGAGACAGTATATCCGTTTCCATTTATCTTAATTCCTGGTATATTTATTATGCTTCCTTTATCTTCTTTCAACTTTATATTAATTTTTAAATTTATTTTTCCTTACTTCTCTTCTAGTTTTTAAGTTGTATTTGTAAGACTTTTCTTTAAAAAAAAAAAAAAAGTTTTTCGGATCCCTGGGTGGCGCAGCGGTTTAGCGCCTGCCTTTGGCCCAGGGCGCGATCCTGGAGACCCGGGATCGAATCCCACGTCGGGCTCCCGGTGTATGGAGCCTGCTTCTCCCTCTGCCTATGTCTCTGCCCCTCTCTCTCTCTCTGTGTTGTGTGTGTGACTATCATAAATAAAATAAAAAAAACTGAAAAATATCTTAAAAAAATAAACAAATAAAAAAAGTTTTAGGTTTACAAAGTAAAGGTGTTTTATGTCTGGCATTTGATATGTTTATATATAATGATTATATTTAAAGTAGGAAATGAAATAAAATCTCCATCTTCCTCCCAAATACAGCAAGGTTTTGATTCTAACTCTTTTCCCATTTTACGTATAATTGCCGCAGAGTATTTTAGTTCTATATTTTTCTATCACATCAGCTATGCTCTCCTCCTCATCATCTTTCTTCTTGTTCTTATCTACACATCTGTAAATTAGTGTATTAGATTATGCTACATCTTGGTTATGTGACCCATTCCACCTAAGTATATCTAGCCTTGGTTTCATGAGCATATTTGCTAAGTAGACCTTCCCTTTTTTTATGTCACTAAAATTTTTAAATAAAAACTATCACCAGATTAGGGTCTAAGACAAGTTTTGCATACATCTAAGTCAAAGGAAGCTATTCTGTTAATTATATAACCTTAGATGGCAATATTACATCCACACTCATTTTCATATTTCAAAAATTAAAGGAATGTTAAAATATTCTAGTTGGCAATGAGTCACATTTTCCTGCCAATTTTTATTTAATGTCTCATCACTATTGCAAATTTGCTCTTGTCCTGTTTGAATTGTTAAACTCTTCTTTGTGGTAAATGTATTTGAGATTAAAGACTAAACTGGTCTCAGAGATTGGAGAGATCTGAGAAAATTACCTACCTGACCAGCAGTGTCCAAAATGTCCAAGTAAGCTGGCTCATTGTCAATCCTAACCTGGGTCTTATAAGCATCTTCTGAAAAACACAAGACAGAGTTTACATGGAGATATATTCAACTGAAAAGGCATGATCCATTTTTAGATTTTATAACAAAGAATTTCTAAATAGGTTAACTAAGTAAGAGAACCCGATATTCTAGTCAAGTACACAAGGGGAGAAGGATATAACCCAGGAAAACATAAGAAAGAATTTCTGCTTAAAGTGAAGTCAGATTTATTTCTTCTTCATAGGAGAATTATGATCTGAGGTACCTTGGTCCTATTACCTACAGAACAAATCTTGAAACAAATTCATCTGTTTTTCATCATGCACTGCAAATTTGCATTCCAACATCATATTCAATAAAAGACTGAAAGCTTTCCCTCTAAGATCAGGAATAAGACAAGTAGGCCTGCTTTAACTTTTATTTAACATAGTACTAAAGTCCTAGCCAGAGCAATGAAGCAAGAAAAATAAGTAAAAACCATCCAAATTGGAAGAGCAGTAGTAAAATTTTGTTTATAGATAACATGATCATATAAGTAGAAAGCTCTAATTGCATGGCAGTGAGGGTGGGGGGTGGGCTTTTGGAACTTCTAAAAAAAAAAAAAAGCAGTTGCCGGACACAAAAATCAAACACACAGAAGTCAGTTGTGTTTCATACACTGATGATAAACAATCTAAAAGGAAAATAAGGTGTTTTCATCTATAATAGCATCAAAAGGAATCAAATACTTAGGAAGAAACTTAACCAAGAAGGTAAATTGAAATTGTATACCAAAAACTATAATATGTTTGTGTACTTGTTAACTTGTACAAGTTTATACACTCTGGATTCTAAACACTTATCAGGATTCGTAAATTTTTTTTTCCTATTCTGTAGGTTTTTTTAAAAAATAAATTTATTTTTTATTGGTGTTCAATTTGCCAACATACATAACACCCAGTGCTCATCCCGTCAAGTCTCCCCTCAGTGCCCGTCACCCATTCACCCCCACCCCCCTCCCCTTCTTTTAACTATACTAATAATGGCATCTGATGCATGAGAGTTAAATTTTATGGAAAATAATTTATTTTGTTGTTCAAGTTTTTAGTGTCCTAAGGATCTATTCTAAAATCCAAGATTATGAATATTTAACCCTATGTTTTCTTCTAAGATTTTCATAATTTTAGCTTTGCCCTTAAGTCATTGATCCATTTTCAGCTAATTTTTTTTGGGACACCTGGGTGGCTCAGCAGTTGAGCCTCTGCCTTTGGCTCAGGGCGTGATCCCGGGGTCCTGGGATTGAGTCCCACATTGGGCTCCCCACAGACAGCTTGCTTCTCCCTCTGCCTCTGTGAGTCTCTCGTGAATAAATAAAACCTTAAGAATTTTTTATTTGTTGTTTGGTAAGGATATAAATTTATTTTTATACAATACAATCCTATTATCCTTTATTTCTGTAAGATTGGCACTAATGTACCCAATTTCTTATTTGCGTAAACTCTTTTTTAGTCAATCTAGGTAAAGATTTGTCAATTTTGTTCAGCTTTTTGAAAAAGTAACTTAGTATTGATTTTCTCTTGTTTTCTCTATCCACCTCTTCTAATCTTTAGTATTTCCTTCATTCTATTTGCTTGGGGTTTAATTTTATCTCCCCCTCCTCCATTTCTCAAGTTTTAAAGTAAGGTAATTAGAGATTTTTTTTTTTACATTTTATTTATTTATTCATGAGAGACACACACAGAGAGCGAGGTAGAGACACAGGCAGAGGGAGAAGCAGGCTCCATGCAGGAAGCCTGATGTGGGATCAGGCCCTGAGCCAAAGGCAGTCGTTCAATCGCTGACCCACCCAGGGTCCCATATCTTTTTTAATGTGAGCATCTACAGTTATACATTTTCCCTTCAGCACTTCTTTTGCTCCACACAAATTTTGGAATGCTGTGTTTCATTTTCATTAATTTCTAATTATTTTCTAATGCCCTCTGATTTCTTCATTTCTTCAGTGGTTGTTTAACTTCCTCACTTTTGTGTATCTTTGTTTTTCTTCTGCAGTAGATTTCTAGTTTCATTCCATTGTGACTGAAAAAGATACTCTGTATGATTTCAATCTTCTGATATATACTTGAAAAGTCAAGGAATGCTTCATGGGAGAAGTAGCACCTAACCTGAGTAGGAGTTAAGATAAAGTTAAGACAGAGAAAGGCAAACTGAAAGCCAGAATCCCAAATATTATAAAATTGATGAAACAAAGGGGCACCTGGGTGGCTCAGTGAGTTAAACATCTAACTCTTGATTTTAGCTCAGGTCATGACCTCGGAGTCCTGGGATCAAGCCTGATACCCAGCTCCCCACTCAACAGGGAGTCTGCTTGTCTGTCTCTGCCTCTACCCTTCCCCCTGCTCATGCTCTCTCTTAAATAAATACTTTAAAAATGATGAAATAAAAGTAACCTAAATAATTTTAGTGTGATTAAATCCTAGAGTTTAGGGAAGAAAATATAAAATTTAAGAGGTAAATCAGGCTTACCTATGAATATATTAAATGGAATCATATTTCTGACTGTGGTGGTCAGACTGCTGAGGTTTAATCCTGGCTCTTCCACTACCAGCTATCTGATCTTAAGGGGGTGGGAAAATCACTTGGTCTCTCTAAAATGCATAGTACTCATTTGAAGGTTATAATATTTCTATTTAACTCATGGGGTTTTTCAGAAGATTCAGGAAGATAACCCATGGAAGGCATCTAGTACAGTGCCTTGTGTTTAGAATATGCTCAATGCTTATGCACAGTTTTTAAGAAATCTGGACTATCATAACACACATTATCAGATATTTTAGAATGCTCACTTGGGCTGAATTGTGGTGAATAGATTTTAAGGTGGGAAACTAGAAAGATTAAGTTGATATTAGTAACCTAAGTGAGAAAAGATGGTGGCCTGTATTATGACAGTGGCAATAGGGTGGAAAAAGAGTGGACAAAAAAAAAAAAAGAAGAGAAGAGAAGAGAAGAGAAGAGAAGAGAAGAGAAGGAGAAGAGAAGAGAAGAGAAGAGAAGAGAAAGAAGAGAAGAGAAGAGAAGAGAAAGAAGAGAAGAGAAAAGAGAAAAAGAGTGGACAGTTTTGCAAGATATTTAGAAGGTTGAAACTATAGCACTTAATAGTATATAGGGGCCAAGGAAGGAGGATGATGCAAGAGTAGCTCCCCAATTTCTGAAATTTGCAGATGGGCAGATAGCTAGGGTGTTTACTCAGGGAGGAAAGGAGGACCACCACAAATGAAACTTAGAAAAAGACTTTGCCATGTCTCCGTAATTCAAGTGGAAACAGTAAGTGCCTGGGTCTGAAGCTCTGGGAGAGATCTGAGGGTTTTATTTCATTAAATCCATTTATTTTCTCATTTCTTCCAATCATGATTGGAAACATGGTTGGACCTCCTGAGCCTGGAATTCAAACTCCTAGAATCTGGCTATAGCTTCTGTTTTATCCACAATTTATGTTGTAAGTAAAGAGCAACTGAACTACTACTAAAAGCATTTAAAACAGCATTGAATTTTGGCACAACTTCAATAATTATTCATACTGTTGATTTTGAACCACAAATGAGTTATTTTCAGAACTTTTGGTTTACAAATAATAACATTCAATAAAGGAGGCACTTTTGAAAATGAGCACTTCCTCAAAATTAGGTTTTTGCTTGCTGTTGGAGATATGAAGATAGACCCACACATGCACACACAATTAGGTCTCTACTCCTAAAAACTTAATTATGATGAAAGACATACACATGTAATGGGATGTTAAGATTCAATAATTTATAGGACATATACCTTACCCTTTTCAAGGAAATTCATTTCTTATGACTGTGCTCCAGAAATAAAGTTGTGGGAAGTATAACTTGCAGGGTTGTCAATCTGGTGTTGTTTTAGCAACTACCAGCCATTTTATAACACCATTCAGTATATGGACAACCACATAGTCTATTTTCCATTCTACCACTCTTTGTTCTTTCACTGATCTTGCTCTTACACAAGAGAAATCTTGTGGATTTTTTTTTTAATGTATGTAGTTGTTTTTCAATTTCATAGGGAAATAAGAATAGTCACTCTGAAAAGAATGCTGTGACCTGAGAATCACATGTGAGTCTTTCAGATTTCATGTTTGTTTATTTAACTCAAAGGCCCCAAAAGGAGCCTGCTGAGGCCAGGAGCATGCTGAGTAATCCGGACGAGAACTGCTCTGTGTGATTATCTGAGCCTTAGATAAACCCAGCACATGAAACGTATATCAAATAAAAGCTTCTCCTGGGATCAGAAAACCCCTTCAAAGAGACTTGATGTGAATTGGCTGGAAATTAAGCCAGGCCTTCTATCCAAGATTTCTTTCTCTCTTTTAAGAAGTGTCTATCACAGTACACATTCCAGTGTTGTGAATCTAGGTCACCTCCCTGGCCTCCATAGCAACTAATCCCTTTCATTTCCTTCCAATAAACAATCTTCCCTCCTGTTTCCATCCATCCACTCCCTTTGAGACCTCCCATGTAGAAATGCAGTGACAGAAATACTCTCTTGAATACATATAAACACCTCCCTGAATTTCAATCATCTGCCTATAGATGCAACCCTGAAGTGAGCTCATTTATCTTCCAAAGCAAGAGGCCAAATGTATACAAAGCTTTATCAGGCAGAAATAGTAGCAACTGCCTGCTATGTTGTTTGCACTGAAAAGCACAATGGAGCTACATTCTTAGAGGTATCTCTAAAATTCCACCTTAAATTCTAAAATTCTACCTTAAATGCCACTTTAAAATTCATTTGAAAACACTGGTTTTTGATATTCTTGCTTCTCTTAGGATAGGTCTTCAGTGTCCTTCTCCGGAAATTTACAGGAGAAAATTACCAAAGACCTGTATTAAAAAACCTCACATCCATCACTAAGTTTTACTGTTATAATTGGCCAACCACTTAATCTTACCTGTAAGGAGTTAATAGTACATGCTTGTCAATGTATAGGAAGGAGTTCTAGAAGGATCAACTAAAGTGGAATATAAAATGGTGT